TTAATATTCTAAAAATAAATTTCTATTTTAATTAAAAAAATAAGCCTAAAAATTTAATATTAAAACAAAGATTTAGTGTAAAAAAAGTATATATTCTTATTTTAAATAGATTTAGAATAGTTATATTCTAATTTATATTAATACGAAAATTTGCGTAGAAATTTTAAGACCAAAAACTATTATTCCTATTAAAATATCAATTTTCTTCGATAAATTTTCAAATTAATTATTATTCATCATAAAAAATTTAATATTTAGGAAATAATAAATATTTTTAGCTAATTATATATGTATAAAGTCGATTTATTATTCTCGATTAATAGATCGACGATTTGAATTTTATTCAGAATTCATATTATTTCAGCATTCATAATTAGATACAATTCGATCTCCATATCTTCTGAGAAATAGAATGAATTATTTAATATAATAGGGTTTGGGGTCCGGTGTGATTTTAAGGTTTTAGAGTTAATCCCCAACCCTAAACCCTTCCACGCCGGACCCCAAAGCCATATAATATCTTTATTTTTTTGTCGAAAGATACGATTATTCATTTTTTCTGCTAACCGCACGAGATTTCGCCGGACTATACGAAGATGATAATTATATATTTCTATTATCAGGTTTTTTTAAAAACCAAAATTAATATTTCATAATCTCTCAAATTTATCCAAATCTCTAAAATTTCATATCGAGAAATATAAATCTACCCAATCGAAATTTCTATATTTTGATTATTATGCAAGAGAACTATATACTCTGAGATCTGGTCATTTATGAAACAGACATTTTGTTCTTCAATTTACGCCAACCGTCGCACCAACCTGGCGTGTATGAAGTTGCTTTTAGGATTTGGGATGAGGCGATGGGACCTGTTTCTCAGCTCCTCGTTTATTTTACCAGTACTAATTACTAGTGTTCCAATTGGAAAACTACCAGGAATGAATAAATTGAGGAACGAGTCTCCGGCGCCCCCAAATCCTTCATAACACGGTGTCTCGACACACTTAGGGCTCCGAGGCTGTTGACAGCGGGTAAACTGAGACGCGGACAACGACGCCAATGGTAGCTCCCACTGCTGCAGATGTTCCCAAGGCCTCGTCCTTGCACTGCACTGTGGCAGCCCCAGATCAATTTTGCAGGGTCTTGGCATGGCTCGAAACCAGCCCCACAACCCTCCCGATCCTGCCCCTCGTCGGTCGCGTTTTGTGAATCATCATCGGCCGTCTCTCCTCAGTAAACTCCGTTTTCAAGGTTGGCTTCGCATAAGATCCGCTCTGGCCGAACATCTAATCCGAGATCCCACGCCAAGTGCATCACCCACGGAAGCTGTGGTCTCTGCAGCCAGTGCAGCAAGAGCCTGCAAGAGCCCGCAAAAGAGTGCATCATTACACAAGCTCGAGGACCCGCGGCCAAGGCGGGGAGAGAGCCTCGGAGCCTGCAACCCCAACCAAGTGGAAGCTCTAAACCAGCCTTTGATTTGCCGAATCGCTTTCTTGGGACTCGTGTCTGCTAGTGCTGGAACGCAAGCAGCTGCAATAGACAGGGACAGCGTCTGCTCGGCAGGTAACCACTTAAGACTTGCCCTCAACTGCTTGCCGGGGGAGATGAAAAGATTACAAGACCAGGCTTCATGACCTCTACAAGAAACCCATGGCAGCCTTGATGTAGTCGCCCAGGGTTGGAGAGCTGACCTTCTTGTCAGTTGCAGATCTGATGCTGAACATGGCTCACGGGACTAGTATTCGTGGTTGTGCTGCTTGTGTCGTTGCACACCATTGCCAGGTCATGCCCTTTTCGAGGAAGCTCCGGCATTGCATGGTATGAACTGGAGCTACTGCAAACGGGTGCTGCGCATCTGCTTGTCCAGCGGCAACGCCCTTAAGCGCGCTTTGCGCATCTCCTCATGCGGTGCATGGCAATATTGACAAGCTGAACCTTTGGGGCATTTCCCCGAGGAAGAGGAGAGAAAGATACACGGCTGGCATCCGTTGGGATGCGCTGCGCTACCGACAGATAAGTTCTGGAAATCTTGCATGTATGTGCCGTAACCTCCACTCAATGTCTTCTCTGAAGTACCAGACGAAAAGTCTCCTGCAGCTCACTGGCATCACGGCAAGCTTTCAGAAAGTTCAATGCTCAGGGTGGAGGCTCTCTACGCCAGTGTGAAATTGTCCTCCATGCTCTCCATGGGCTAGGATCCCAAAACTGCCGCTCCTGGTGGGCGCGAAGGCGCCGATCGAAATTCCGGCGCAGAGCTCGTCAGGGAAGTTGACCGTGGCGACGCAGCTTTGACAGGCTGCTCAGGGTCTCCTTGACGGGGGCCCAAGCTGGGCTCAACGACTGTCCAAAGCTCATGTTACGGCTCCTTGAAAACTTTCCGCATCTACGCTGGGGTCTGCTGGTCTCTGAGGCCGTTCATCCTTAGTTGGGTGCAGTGCTGAGTGCACATTGAGTAGCTCAATCATGATTCGGAGAACTCAAACCAGTGCCGTGTCGTTACGGTTCTCGCTCTCTCGCTCTCTCTCTCTCTCTCTCTCTCTCTCTTGCTTGCTTGCTTGCTTGCTAATGGCTTCGAGGAAAGGGACGCTCTCTCTCTCTCTCTATCTCGTCTCTCGCCCTCTCTCTCTCTAAGCAGCGTCGGGCAACATCAGCACCCTGATGAAGAAGCACCACTATTAGGCTTCGGCCTTGTTTCAAGCTGCATGGCACGCGGATATGCAGCATCGTCGCCCGCTCTTGGCTCGTTGTGCATGACAACAGCGATGCGAGCAACGCTCACCGCACGGCGTACGCTTCGAAATCCCGGCTAGTTGTGGTCCGTTGTCGTTCTTTTCCCCACCCGCCCAGCTGACAATGTCGCACCGCAGGGAAATTCGGCGGTTGGGGTTTGGCCTTGCAGGATGGGAATGTCGGCCAGGTCGCCGGCGATGTAGCCCCATCCTGACAGGGCGGCTTCTTTGGATTGGAGGCAACGAGAGCTCCATGACGAAATGCACCTATTCGTGCAAGGAGCAAGTGCCTCACGTGTCCAAACGGTTTCCATGCCTGCTCTTAGTTTCATTCACGATCGCGGTTTCATTCGAGACCATGTGAGCTTTCGGGAACTATGATCGTGGCTGGCAGGGGCGTAAGTAAGCCACACAGGTCTGCTTCACTTGGTCCTGGCTGTCTTTCGTCGCCCGGCTTGTCAGCAAGAGCGCTGACGAGTTGCCGCTTCTTTTGTCCTGCAATTCTGCAATTGAGCCGTGTAAGATTTCCGTCAATACTGGGCAAGAAGTTGTGCACAGGGCCAGGGCCTGGTCGACTAGTGGATTTGAATGGGTTTGGTACTTGCAGGGCACCGGCTCAGAACCAGGCCAAGCCTTGGCTTACCGAAGAAGTGACTCCTGACTGCACCGCAAAACACTGTAGAAACAGCTGGGCGGGCGGTGGCCGGCTTAAATAATGTCTGTCGTTCGTCTAGACAATCTTGTTCTGGGTATACATATGCAAGTGTCTACCGACATTGACGACAAACATCGCCGACAACTAAACCAAATACAGACCAAACCTATACATGTATCTGTTGACACCGATGACAAGCATTGCCACCGACTAAGTACCGGAGCATGGCTATCTGAAGACACACCATAAGAGGGAAACGACAGGAAGCCTTGGGTGTGCACGATTCCGACATAGTAGAACAGAATCCCATGCGTCGACCGAGACACAATCGCTATGTATCGATGAAGACTTATGGTGGACGCCAGAGAGTTGGAGCGCTGTTCCAGGTTAGGTTGACCCTTGGGGTCCCATGCTGGTGACGCCCCCGGCCAAGGCTGCAAGTGCTCTTTCTGCGAGGTTCATCTGTGGTAGGACAACCTGTATTCCGGTATTACGCAGACGTTGAATCGCAGCAGTACATGGGGGAACGGACTTTTGAATCCTGCCAGTATATGGGGGGACGCATCAGCCCCATGGTCCCGAATTCCGCCATTATTTGCTGGACGGCACTTTCGTTGTCACCCGGAGCCTGCCAGTACGTGGGAGCAGGCATTCTGGTCGCGCCCCCCGAATCCACCAGTACTTGGCAAACAGCAGAGAAACTCGGAATCCTCCTTCTGAGTCCCGCCAGCACTTGGTGGGAAACCTTCGAGCCCGCAGTCCATGCCGGCTTAAACACGCACGGGGGTGCAGCGCCCCCCATTTGCAAACATCATGCCAGTTCTAAACAAGTTCAGATGGGTTCCCATGACACGATGTTCGTGACTGCAAGCTAGCCGAGCTTTAAACAGCGCGGGGGTTGGGAGGCAGCAATTCGATGCCTGCATGATGGGGCTTAAGAGGGTTTATATGAGTTCCGATGGCAGGATATTTAAAGCAAGCTTGCGCGGTTCAAAGGGGGCGGTGGGGGAGAGGGGGGGCGCAGCCCCCTCCAATTGCAAACACGATACCTGTATGATGGGTTCTAGACGAACTGATACGCGTGCCGGTGGCACGATGCTCCCTAAAGCAAATGATATCCTGTCTATATGTTCATGTATTGTAGAATATGATAACAGGAGCATATAACATAACACAACTAGTATCATGCCACTTGCGAACAATAGCATTGCGTAGACGATATTCAATACAGAAATTGCTTATTATTTGTCTTCTCTCGCATACTATATCGCTATTATTGTTTATCGTGTGGTTCTTGGTGTTGCTAGTCTTCCTTTGCGTCTTGTACTTCTTCTATTCCTTTTTTTGTGCCCTTTCCGTGTATTTCCTGTTTCTTTCGGTTGTGCCCTTTCTTTGTTATTATTCCCCACATCATTGTGTGGGGTTCTTACTTTTTGGGGCGGCGTCCGCGCCACTCTCCTCACTCCTCCTCACTCCTCCTCCTCCTCCTCCTCCTCCTTCCTCCTCCCTCCTCCTCCCTCTCCTCCTCCTCCTCCTCCTCTCCTCCTCCTCCTCCTCCTCTCCTCCTCCTCTCCTCCTCCTCTCCTCCTCCTCACTCACTCACTCACTCACTCACTCACTCACTCACTCACTCACTCACTCACTCACTCACTCATACACACACACACACACTCACACTCATCATCACAATCACATCATCATCACCCTCACTCACTCATGCACATACTCACACTCCTACACACACGCACACACACACACACTCATTCATCCTCATACACATACACACACATACATACTCTCGCTGCTGGGTCCTGGAGCCTCTTAGACGACTGGCTGGACCGCACGCGCGCCTTGGGATGCGGGGCCTGTGGGGGCTCTTGGAGGCCTGGCTGAACCCCACGGGGCCTGTGGGGGCTCTTAGAGGCCTGGCTGAACCCCATGTGCGCCTTGGAATGCGGGGTAGAGGCCTTGGGATGCGGGGCTTGTGGGGCCTCTTGGAGGCCTGTCTGATGCGGGGCCCGTGTTGGAGGCCTGGCTGAACGCTGGAGCCTCTTAGAGGCCTGTCTACCCACGCACGCCTTGGGATGCGGGGCCTGTGGGGCCTCTTAGAAGGCTGGCAGAACCCCACGCACGCGGGGCCTCTTAGAGGCCTGTCTGAACCCCACGCGCGCCTTGGGATGCGGGGCCTGTGAGCCGCCTGTCTGCCCACGCGCGCCTTGGGATGCGGGTTTGTGGGGTCTGAACCCCACGCGCGCCTTGGGATGTGGGGCCTGTGGGGCCTCAAAGAGGCCTGTCTGAACCCCACGCGCGCCTTGGGATGCGGGGTCTGTGGGGCCTCTTAGAGGCCTGTCCTTCCGCGCGCGCCTGGGATGGGTCTGTGCCTGTTCGAGGCCCTCGCGCCTTGGGTTGCCGGGCCTGTGTGTGGGGCCTGTTCAGAGCGGTTTGGGATGCGGTGCTTGTAGGGCCTGTTAGAGGCACCTTGGGACGCCGGCCTGTGGGGCCTGTTTACGGGCCTGTTAGAGGCCTTGGGATGCCGGGCCTGCGTGAGGCCTGTTAGACGCCCTGCGCGCTTTGGGATGCTGGATGCGGGGCCGCGCGCCTTGTGGGGTTTGTTAGAGGCCCGCGTGCCTTGGGATGCGGGGTTTGTGGGGCTGTTAGAGGCCCCGCGCGGTTTGGGATGCGAGGCCTGTGGGGCCTGTTGCTTGTGGGGCCTGTTTAGAGGCCTTGCGCGCCTTGGCATGAAGGGCCTGTAGGGCCTGTTAGAGGCCCTGCGCGCCTTGGCATGCCGGGCCTGTGGGGTTTAGCCCCGCACGCCTTCGAATGGGGCCCCGCGCGCCTTGGGGCCGGGCCTGTGGGGTCTGTTAGAGGCCCGCGGGGGTTGGGATGCTGGGCCTGTGGGGCCTGTTTAGGGGCCTGTTGGAGGCCCCGCACGCCGGGCCTGTGTGGGCGCGCCTTGGGATGCCGGGCCTGTGGGGCCTGTTAGAGGCCCCGCGCGCCTTGGGGGGCCTGTTAGAGGCCCCACGCGCCGGGCTTGTGGGGCCTGTAAAAGGCCCCGCGCGTCTTGGGATGCCGTGTCGGGCCTGTTAGGGGCCCTGCGCGGTTTGGGATGCGGGGCCTGTGGGGGCCTGTTTGAGGCCCCGCGCGCCTTGGGATGCCGGGGGTGTGGGGCCTGTTGGAGGCCCCGCGCGCCTTGGATGGGCCTGTTTAGGGGCCAGTTGACCTTGAGGGGGCCCCGCATGCCTTGGGATGCGGGGCCTGTGGCGCCTGTTCGAGGGCTGTGGGCCTGTTAGAGGCTGTGGGGCCTGTTAGCGGCCTGGCAAGACCCCACACGCGCCTTTTGGGATGCCGGGCTTGTGGGGCCTGTTAGAGGCCCCGCGCGCCTTGGGATGCCGGACCTGTGGGGCCTGTTAGAGGCCCCGCGCGCGCCTTGGGATGCCCGGCTTGTGCTGGTGGCGCCGCGCCTTGGGATGCCGGGCCTGTGC